TGGACTGATGCATGCAACACCCGCTGAGTGGCATTAAACAGCTTGAAAGATCAAAGACAATTTTTAATATAACTCTTGACTGGATTCGTCTGAAAGAAGAAAGTCATATACACCTAGGATGACTTGAGGGTGAGTAATTTGTGGGCTAATTTTCATTTTTGGGTGAACAAACCCTTTAGCTAATGTTAAACCATTAAATGACTGCACGGTAGTCCACAACATATTTTTATGTCTGATCAGGGCCATATCCACCATAGACATTGAGGGGGTCAAGTCCCCCCAATAATTAGATATTAGAAATCAACAAACTTTTTTTTCTCAAATATGGGCAGTTTGAGAGAGATGCAGCCTTGGACTCTTTATTGTAGTGTGCAGACGGTGTGTGATGGAATACTGTCTACCTGGAACACATTGTGTCATTGCTGTGAAGCTGATCCATGATCCCACCTGGAAATAAATGCAAATTTTCCAATTTTACATCACTACACAAAACACAGACAATATTCCTCAAGATCCCCGTAATCATCCAGAAACATTTCACATGCTGCTCTCCACAGGTGTGGACAGCCCCAGACATTCCAAATGTCTCTTTTACTGCTTTTTTCACATGAAACAGGTTATTCTGTGAACTTGACGAACCTCATATGTGTAGTTTGGGCAGGACACGAAGAAAAAGAGCCAAGTGAATGGATTATTTGTGGGATAAGGAATCTCTTTAGGCCTGGACCCTGTTGATGTGTGAGAAGAGCATAAGGTTATCCGGCAATGAAAACATCTAATATAGATAAGAAACTGAAGAGTTAAGGATTCAGTCAGGAGAATGCATAGTCTCTGAAGAAGGTATTAATTTGACAGATAATTTTTTCTGTGCACACCCACACAGTCCTTTATGAAAGGAACAAAGAAATGGTAATTAATCATAATCACTAGGTTTCATTGTCTGTCTTGATTGGCCATGTTTATGCCCACACAACTACAGAGATGAATCTTTATTAGGACTCACCATTACAGCTGATTCGATTCAAAATCAGATGAACTGAGAAATGTCCAAATTCACAGACCTGAATAAAATGAACAAAGAGATATGATGAAGAAAAACAGCGATGTAAAATGAAAGCTACACTATGTAACATCTGGTCCTACCCTAATCAAACACACCTGAACATGCTAATCAAGGTCTTCAGGAGTTATGACAGGTGACTTTGATCAAGGTTGGAGCTAAACTCTGCATGAAAGTGGACCTCGAGTGCCAGAGTTGAGAACCACTGGGTTACACCAACAAAACTGAATGCAATAGTTAGATCAGGCATTTAAGAAATAGAAATGATTTGTAATAGTCTGTTAACTATTCTGTCCATCAGCTCATCTGAATAAGGGTTTTCACTCTGAACTCACTTGACAACTTTAAATGGACTTTGGGTGTAGTCATACTCGTGCCCGTAGATGTATGGAAGCCGATAGTAGAACAGCAGGTAAATGAAAAGCGGCCCAAGACACTCTGCCAGAAATACCTACGATCAGCCCCCAACAAAACCACCATTATTGTCATACACACTATACGAGCTGCTATTGTCTAAATGAGCATGTATCAGATGCTTTCTTTACCATAGTCCAGCCTAACTGTGGGCCGAGGTCCTGGAAGAACATTGTTGCGGTCGTGCCAACCGGTAGATCCTCCAGTACATCATCATCACTGAGGGCCTTTCCCTCTGAGAATCAATCAACTCAGTCATAATAAGAAGAAATGTCAAAATAAATGCACGTCAGTTAAAAAAGTTATAAAATATTTTTATAAAAATTCCAATTAAAAAAACAAAAACTTTTCTTGTTTATATTGTTAACTAACTGAAGTTTTCTCACTCTTGCATTCTCCATTGTGATATGAAGCCTGACATTCTATCAGGAGAAGTGCAGACGTGCACATATGTGTCACAGCTGTTGCAGATCTAAGATTGCAAAAGCATCTGGCTACTGTGCTAGACTTTAATTCTTCTAGATTTTTTGCTTTGGTGAACATTTTTGAACAAACATTTTAGAAATGGCAATGGAATATACAGGATGTCCAACAGAATAAAATAAAATGATCTAAAAAAAATTTAAATCATGTAAAAAATAAATAAAACACAATAAAATAAAATAAAATAAAAGATAATAGATGGATGGGAAAGTTCACCTGGATGCAGCTTCAGTGCCTGTCTTGATGGATAAAACTTGGGGTCTGCAGGGATTTCAAGAATTGTAATATTTAAAACAGCCTGGTCATATTACATCACGTATGTAAGCTGCACAGTTTGAATAAGCATAATACGATTGTGTAAGAACAAAAACACTTACAAATTTTGTGCAACAAGGTCTTGATCTCTGCAATGGTGGCGTTGGGCTCCACCTGAGAAAGTTCAAGAATTTTTCTCAGCTGTAGCTCCCACACAAGAGGCCTTTATTTACTCAAATATGATTTCTGACCCAACGCCAGTGCTGTTATCATTAACAAATGTTAAAACAAAAACTATTAAAAACACTTTTTTTGTGAATTGAAATAAAGCTGAAATACAATTCATTATAAATATTGAAAATGTATATATAAACATAAATATGAAAATATATATATTTGAGTTAGTTGTCAAAGCAACATTTTTAATTTTCATTTAAAGTACTAAAATGACAAACTGAAATTAATAAAAAGTTAATAGAAATATCTTTTAAAAAGAAACACTATTAAAAATGACAAAAAATAAATACAAACTAATTCAAAAATGTTAATAAATACCAAAATAGTACATTTATAACACTAAAATATCACTGCTAAATGCACCTTATCCAGGTAGCAGAGTTGTGCCTTGCTCTTGAGGTCCAGGATCTCCACCTCAAAAAAGACATAATTCTTATTCTCGGTGAGCCCAGCTTTCAGGCCGTGGTCACATCTGGCCTTTATGAATTGGGCTACGGCGAAGAGATTCCTTAAATCCACACATTGCATGATGCCTGTTGAGGGCTGTAGGTGAGCCCTGGTTTTGGTGGTTGGTGTACAGATGCGATCAGACCCTTACAGCCACATGGTAAGAGATGGAATGCTTATGATGACCTCACAGGCATATCGAGTTGAGTATCGCAGCCAGAGTATCTTGTTGACATAGTTAAATAGTTTTGCTCAGGTTACCACAATTTGAGATTTCAAACACTGTCAAGCTTGCATGACTTTTCATTTCCAGAAAACAGGGCCTGATATATTTTATTTGGAGTATTTGTGATCTGTGTCTGCAGAAATAAGTTTGTCATGTAGTCAACATACAGTGCAGGCACATGCACACGGACGCACACCCGTGAAGAGACGTGAGGGGCATGTCTTGGATTTGAGCTGCAGGCTGGTCTATATTTGTCTCTGACGGTGAGGGGCAATTTATCAGCCCCGCTGCACCCTGCCTCACAGACCTCTGAACCCCAAAATCACTGTCAACTATCATTTCATCAAGTGCTTTGAGTTTAATCCTTCTGGTAAAGCGAGACGGCCCCCCATCACGCTTTAACTGTATCCTGCCTTTTCTTGATATTCTAGCCTTGATTACCGGCTTAAAGTATGAAGAAAAGTGGAGCAGAGCATTGCTGAGATATCAGCCCTACTGTGAAAGAGTAGATGTGACCCCACACAGAGATCACCGTAACATTCTCAACCTCTTATTCTATGTATCAAATGAAAAAGTTTCCTGATTAATAATAATAATAATAAATTGCGTTTTTAAAATGTAAAATTGTTAAAAATCAATCTAGAGATCACCTAACATGTTTACAACCAATGTCAATATGGATTATGTTTGTTTTGTGTATTTTTGTATGACAATTGATATACACTAATTAATAATAATAACAATAGTAATAATAACAACAACAACAATAATAATAATAATAATAATTTGGCTTACATTTCAACATTTAAAGAATTTCAACATTTAATGAAGTGAATCTCACTTCAGCACAAATAAAATAAACAAGTAAAAAGCCTAATAATTTATGTAAACAATACATTAAATATTTTCTAAAATATCTTAAATATATTCAGAAATATTAAAATATATGTTTTTATTAACCATCAAAATGCATTTGGGTCAATTTTGACTTGGAAGAGAAATGTATTATTATTATTATTATTATTATTATTATTATTATGAATGCATAGTTTTCAGTACAGGAACCAAACTTTGCAAATGTGGCAAGGCTAGTAAAATGCATATTTTGCTAAATTATTTTTATTAGATATAACTTTTTTAAAATGTACTTATTTTGTTCACAGCTCCATTATTAAATTCTTTAATTAATATTTAATTTTACACCTAATTATAATGGTGTTGTTATGTGCTATTCTCTAGAACCATCTGAAGACATGAATTAGTAGTACCCGATAGGGTTATGGTTAGAACCAATAATCATAATCGTATACGACCATAACCAGAAGATTGTCAATATCAGTAAATATACTGGTTTATCTTTAGTTAAAGCTATTAAATAATTAACTAAGCATTCTGTTAATTCACCAGTAAGTCATGGGGACACATATGGCACAAAAAACAGTTCATTAACTGCAGCAATATAACCCATCCATCGCATTCAGATATTTTAGCTCTTCTATTTAAAACAGAACATCTGTGGGGAAAAAGCAAAGCCAAAATATAATTCAAGTAATTACCTCAAAATAGGCTACTCTATTAATGACTCCATGTCTCCTCCAGTCCTCCAGATGAAAACCATGCCACACAATCGTCTCCCAGCCTCTTAAAGAATCAATGTTTTCATCCAGCATGTCCATATGAGCAGAAGAGGCCATAACTTCTCATATGTAACCCTGCCTTGCTTTTGTTGAATGAGATGTTATCAGCCCACTAAATATCTCCTGCTGAATCCTAATGGGAATGTCAAATAGAGAGTAACTGCTCTCCACTGCTGGAAATAAATACAGTTGTCTCCAGTGATCAATACAGTAGATAATTAGCCATAGAATCAGGCATACATCAAGAGGTGCTGAGGATGTGACAACTGCGCTAATTAAACTGACTGACTGAACAGTGTTTCAGCAAGCAGAGAGTAAACGCTGTTGTAATTGAAAGTAGTGGGTGAGGTTCTTTCATAATGAACAACTTTTTTTTTACACCATTTTTCTGTCTTATATATATATATATATATATATATATAAAAGATAAGTCTGATGATAGCTCTTGTTCAGTGAGACTTATTTTGAGCTCATAATTGTATTCAATTTTCAACCGCTAGTGGGCAGCACTCGCTCTCTTTACAGTACACAAGAGCTCGTGTTTCTTGACGTTGTTATGGTTGCTCTGATAGCAAAATAATGCTGTTCAGTCCTAAAATCTGGAAAATAATTAGCATTTTTGAGCCATTAATTCCTTTGGAAACTTCTACTGGGTTTTAAGAATGGCCGTTTTGCATTATGGTTAACATTACTAGAAGAGACTTCCATGTTAACTGCCACTATAAAACGAAAAGTGTTCAGTGAGACTTATTTTGAGCTCATAATTGTATTCAATTTTCAACCGCTAGTGGGCAGCACTCGCTCTCTTTACAGTACACAAGAGCTCGTGTTTCTTGACGTTGTTATGGTTGCTCTGATAGCAAAATAATGCTGTTCAGTCCTAAAATCTGGAAAATAATTAGCATTTTTGAGCCATTAATTCCTTTGGAAACTTCTACTGGGTTTTAAGAATGGCCGTTTTGCATTATGGTTAACATTACTAGAAGAGACTTCCATGTTAACTGCCACTATAAAACGAAAAGAAACAGAAAGCAAGGGGATTTTTCTTTTTTTTTTTTTAGATGAATTTGAAGAGGGAAATGGGAACTAATTATTTAAACTTCCTATAAAATCAATCGGAGAGGACCTGCCTGGGCTGATTGTTGATGGGACTCAAAGAGCATTTTCCCCAATGGAGATCTTTTTCCAGCTATTTGCATTTGGAGATAAAATGCAGATGCCTGTGAAACCTTGATACATGAGATAAATCAGCAATGCTTTCTATTGACCTTCATTTCCATGACCAAAGGGGAAGAGAGCATTGAGATATGCTGATGATTTAGGGCAGCTCTGGGCTGGTTTAGCTGGAAGGGACACACTCACTTGAGTCAACTAGTATCTATTGGGAATCCTGAATCTTGAAAGAGTGTATATAAGACAGCAAAGGCTCACTTGTACTATTTTTAGCCATTAACTGTTTCATTTTATGATCTTCATTTTATTCATCCCAAAACGCTAGTGTTATAACACACACACACACACACACACACACACACACACACACTAGTATCATACTAAACACTGCATGGACTCAAGGAAAAGACACGTCACACAGCCAGCAGTGCAAACCCCTTCACACCTGTGCACAGATACAAAAGGGGAAGAAAAAACTTTCTGCTTGACACTTCACAAGTCAACGTTCTGAAAACTTCTACAGCTGCAGAATGAAAAAGGATTAATTCAGGCGAACATGGAGTGACGCTCAAAGACCTCAACCAAAAAGCCAGAAACATCCCTGCATTCACACCAGAACTTGTAGGAGACAATGACGTCCATGCCTACCTGCGAGACATTGACTTTCACCTGCAGTCTTGGACCAGTGTGAACCACCAAGATAGCCTCTATCTGCTCTGGATCACCTAGCCCAGAGGTGCAACGCTTCCTCGACAGCCAGGACACATCCAATCAGACTACCAGCAGCTTAAACAAGCCATTATTAGGGAATTCTCAGACCCAGAGTCTGAACACGGACTGATTGCTGCCCTAGACACCAAACAGGGCCAGCATGAAAATCCCCATGCTTACTACCACAGACTTCGACAAGCTTACTTCGAAGCTCGCAATGAACCTGGGATGGAGGAGGACACCAGCTTCAAGAGCCTTTTCCTCCGAAACCTCCACCCCATTGCAAGTCACCATTTAGGCATTATGGCCTGCACAATGCCTATTCAACAACTGCATGACCTGACACAGAAGGCCTTTAACAAGCACAAGGCCTCCACCAAAAGTTTTTGCAAGACCCCACCGATTCTGAACTTTACAAGCCAGAATCCAAAGCGGGCACCAGAAGGCACATTGCCAGCATTGCCACAATGCAAGGCCCTTCTACACTAGCCAGCAGAGGACAGAGCAGTCACCATGGCAACCGACCCAGGTTCCAGACCAACCACTGGCAGAAGCCATGGAAAAGGCCGTCCTCACCCTGCAAACATCACGGTATGTCCAACAGAAGTCCGCCATAACATCCTCAATCCCCATGCTTACTACCACAGACTTCGACAAGCTTACTTCGAAGCTCGCAATGAACCTGGGATGGAGGAGGACACCAGCTTCAAGAGCCTTTTCCTCCGAAACCTCCACCCCATTGCAAGTCACCATTTAGGCATTATGGCCTGCACAATGCCTATTCAACAACTGCATGACCTGACACAGAAGGCCTTTAGCAGGTGAATTCAGGTAAATTGGGAGACTTTTTACTGTTGAGGTGACTGGGACAAAAATGTCCCAATTTACCTGAATTCACCCTGTATGACATATATAAATCACTCTATATCTTGCAGATAGAATTTAACAGATAGCCTATATGAATTTAAAAAGATAGAAAGCTTTAAGTATACAAGAAAGCTTTATTGCTGTTTATATCTTACTGACCCCAAACTTTTAAACGGTAGTGTAAAATCTCTATATCTCACTAACAGCGATAAATATATAATGTATACATATAATATTTACATACATATATGTGTGTGTGTGTATTAAACCAAAGCATAGCATAACAAATGGCTGTGCACAGTTATTGGCACAGTTTATATGCAGCTGAAAGCTAATAAATGCACGTTCTGAGCAATGTGACATGGTATCTTTCTCATTTCACTATGTCTAATGTATTCAGACCCGATCACTTTGACACACCACCTGAGAGGTGACTCAGCTTCATACGCCTGCAACACCCACAGGCCTGCTGCTTGTGCACAGGAACTTAAGTCCATTTACTCACTGTGTCTCCTCTGGTCATCTCATCCATCTTTTTTTTTTTTTATTTGGCTCTCTCTTTTTCCCCCTTCATTTTCTGTCCGCATCTCTGGCTGCCTGCTGAGAGGGGTGTTAATTTTAGTGTTGGCCTTATATGCTATGCTTGGCCTGTCTCAGTCAACACCTGCCCCAGCTTTGATACGGGGTGACAGTCTGCCTGATTCATCTGCCCAGGAGCTGTCAGTCAAACGGCTAGTCATGGGCATTGTAGTCTACACTGAGACATCCCAGAGCACCGGGCTAACCGGAGCCAGGTCACACACGACAAATTAGGAGGAGACCCTCATTCATTCAAGTTACTGATTATATTGTCTGTCATAGAGACATGTGATGTGTGAGCAGAACTGAATGGGCAAGTGGTCAACTGAGCCAAATTCCACTGATAAAAAGAAGATAAAGGTATGATTTCCCTTACAAATAAATGCTTCATATTGTGTTATCCCATATTATTTTATCCCTTGGTAAATAAAAATAAAGCACACTGAATCAGGGTTACAGTGTGTTTATTGATAAATGGAGGACATCACTGATTTACTGAGAGCTGAACACAGGTAGAGTAAAAAGTATTATATTTTTATATAATTAAATTTTAATTTTTTTCAGGTGCTTCAAATGGATATAGTATTAAAACTTTAAATTGTATTACATATGTCACTAGGAAGGACATCATTTCTAATACACACACCTGCAGTGCTAATTTAGTAACTTTTTAATTTGCTGAAAGCTGCTGAATATTTTAGATTCAGCACATTTTGACTCCTCTCTGGAACTAAAAGCTTTTTGACTGATCATGAACTTAGGAAAACTAAAACGTTTGGAAATGCTATGTGCTTTGATCTAACTATGTCCAAGAGAACAAGATCATATTTTTACCTAGAACTTTACTTATTCATTTATATCACTTTATCACATTAATTAGCCATAATTATTACACAGCTCTCTGGAGTACTTGATTCTGATTGGTCAATCTCAGCACTGTATAATAAATAATAAATCCAATCTTTCATGTTCATTTGTTATATGTAATAAACATGGAAATATGCAATAGTCAGATGGTTATTATAGCAAATGAAACCCCTTCAGAATCTAGAAGGATACAAGCCCTGATCCTGAGATTGCCTGTCAGGGTTTATTTTGTGATAATGCCCAGCTGACTGTACATTATCCCTTATTCTCACTCTGCTGAATAATGTTTCTCTGAATTAGGGGCCTGCAGAGATGTGTTGACTGAAGTGAAACTGTGTACGTCAGACTAGCGCTGTCGCTTGTTTCTAAATCAGCAGATGGGAAGCGAAACAAGACGTGCAAATGTTCCATTAAGGGGAAAATGAATTACTTTGTTTTAGGTATTTGTCATTTAGGTATATGAATATTGATAGTTCCTCTGGCAAAGAACCGGTTGAATCACATGTTTTGAGAAAACAACAGCATAATTAGCTGTTCTGTGTCAATGTCTGAACAGTCTTTTACCAGGGAGAGGAATTCTGAATGAGTAATAAACAGAAGATACTTTTTTTTTTTGTCTGATCATTGTCACTAAATGAAGAATAAACTCTTTGGAGATGATGAAAACTAGAAAGATCATTTCTCATCAACATCAAAAGCAAAATCACAAAGCCCTCAGAAATTTCAGAAGTTCTCTCATCCATAAATTTCCCTGAGCAGAAAAAAGAAAGCATGAACAAAGCCTTTGTTGAATTACATCTGGAAATATGAGGTAGAGGTAACATTATTGAATAGCATTTCTGACCAAAAACACCACAGATTTGACTGCTGCCTGCTGTTGTGGGAAAGTTGAGATACTATTCTAAAATGAATTATTTTCTCAGACTATATATATATATATGAAGTACACAGAAACAACATCAAACCATGAACACTTAAAGTAAATGTTTTAATTGTAATTACACTGTACAATGGGAAATAATTTCAGCATGGATTGATTTGAAAGCTTTAAAGGGTCAGTTTAAACAAAAATGAGAATTCTGTCAACATTTACTCACCCTCGTTTTTTCCCAAATCTGCATGACTTTTCTTCTCTCTGTGGAACATGATATTTTAAAGAACACTGGGAACAAACATTGGAGCCCATTGATTTCCATTGTGTAGATATATTTCTCAACATATCTTCTTTTGTGTTCCACAGAAGAAAGAAAGCCATAACGTTTTGGCACAACACAAAGATGAGTAAGTAATGGCAAATGTTTATTTTGAGGTGAATAATCCCTTTTAATGTAAGTCATACATTGAAATGAAAAATATGTCCTTACTCCTCTAAACATTCGACAAGCTAAAACTAAGAGATGCATTTTGATAGATCAGTATATAATGTCCATAATAAGGATTTTTTATTTAATGATTTAATGCTAAGTTTCTAGTTAAAAGTGTTTGTTACATTCTTTGTTGAATCACGAATTATAGCTGAACACGACTGCTATGCACTGAAAGTTGCACAAACAACATTTAAACAGAGCTTTAAAAGTCCATGAATGTCCTTATCTGAGTCCGAGTTTGAGTTTAATGACAATTGTTTTACAAATGGAGGAGTGCAATGCTGACTGACATCTCCAGAGGCACTGAACCTCAAACTAAGCACATCTTTTGATTGAAATATATAAAACCCATTATTTCATAGCAATACCACAGCGATTATAGATCAGTGTAACTACAGAATCAAAGTTTTCCTCTCACCTCCGGGCAGATCCATCAGGATTCATCATCATTTTTAATAATGTGGAACAGCGTGACGTTGAACAGTACCTGGTGGCCATTGTTCCAGCCGTAAAGTGCACGATCCCTGGCGTTGTAATCCAGCATGGACATGTGAAAGTACTTGTTATGGATGGGGATGTCCATGTACTCATAGGTAGAGGTTTTGGTGGAGTAAGAGTAGTATACCTTAGCACCGGTCAGGTGGGAGTTGGTGATGTACAGCGTGCCGCAGATCATGAAGGACTCACCTGCATTCCGTTTGGAGTATTCTGTGTTCCAAGAGTTCAGTACCTGGATGGTCAGATGATCCAGCTGGCTGATGACTATATTCCCTGCATTCTGATTGGTGGCATAGATGGCCCATAAACCGAGCTCATCGGCCATCAGGTCAATGTCGGAGAATCCGCCCCAAGTGTACGGGTAGACGTTGTGGAAGCCGGCAGACTCAAGTGCTCGTTGGGTCATGACCCGGCCACTTTCAAAGCTGTATCTGACAATGATGTTGCTCTGGTACTTGTTGTAGTACAGGGAGCCGTTGTAGACGACATGATTGGTTCCCGCCCAGTGGAATGGAAGGTTGTAGGTTCTTGACTCGACCCCAGCTACAAAGTCGCTGACTGATTTGTACTCACGGACAATCTTGTTGTTTGTATAGCTGTCCATGTACCAGACCTGCATTAGAACATTACAAATGTGATGAATAACATTTGAAACTTGCATTTTATAAATGCATCATGTAAGGAGCACAACAATATTGTTCAGAAAGTAAAAATCTCATTCATTTTCTCCTTTTAAGACAGCTCACCATGAGCTATTCTGAGTTATTCTTCAGCAGAAGCCATAATTCAGTATGATTTGAAAATGATTATTCAGAAACCATTCTGATACTGATTTGATGCTCAAGAAACATTTTTATTATCATTGCTCAAAACAGCTTAATATTTTTTAATTTTTTGTGTGTGTTTATAAACTGTGATTTTTTTTCCAGGATTTTTTGCTGAATGGAAAGTTCAAAAGAACATAATTAATTAGAATTTTAAAGCATTCGTTGTTACTTTTGATAATTTTAATGTGTCCTTGATGAATAAAATTATACTTTTAAAACAAAAAAAGTAAATTATTTATATTAAATTATTGTATTTATTTGAATATGTAATTGATATTAAATTACGTCTTTTTTCTATCTAATTTTTTTTATTTATTTTTTTGCTTCAATCAAAGTTTATAAGTTGTGATTGATCTCAGAGCTGGTCGGTTTTGTTCGTGTCTTTGAACTTGATCTGAGTTTTTTTTTCTTATGGACAAAAATAATGGAAAAAACAACTTCCTGGAAGCAATGCCGCTGAAAATCTGGTCTATAAACTTCCGTTCACTCACCACCAGAGGTCACCCACTCTCCACATGGACTCTCACACTACACAGACTGTTACACATCACCCTGGACTACATTTCCCATGCTCCATTGCACTAATCACAAGCTCACCTGAAACCAATTATACACAGCTGCTGCCAATAACACACACTGTATAAATCAGTCTCACACCACCATTCAATGCCGAGTACTGTTTGCGCATATCGCTCAGTTAGTGATAGCAGCATTACGGAGCCCTTTTCCTAATCTTGTATTTGTTCCTAGTTCTAGTCTAGTCTTGCCTCATTGTGTTATTTGATTGCCTGGTTGCCTGATTCTCTGCCTGCCTTGGATTTCTCTAGCCTTATTGTTTGGACTCTGTTTGCGCCTTTACTGGACTATCGCCTGTTTGTGGATTACCCGTTTGCCTTGCCCTCTGGATTATGTTCGCCGATCGAAGACCCTCGCCTGCCCTAGGAATGCTATTTGCCTTGCCTGTGATGTTCCTGTGTTGTTGTCTGACCCCTGCCCATTTTTTGACCACGCCTTTGTAATAAAACCTTGCACATGGATCCGAACGTCTCATGTTCTGATTATGTCGTAACAGAATACTCGGCCTGACAGGGATTCAGCAGCTTCACCAAGGAACATTGGCCAGGTATGAACACAGCGATTTTGCTACTAGCGCTCAAGCGGGGCACACGATCACTCGAGGGTTACATTGTGGAATATTTGGCTTTGGCAAATGGCTCAGAATTGCCGGACTGTATGTTAATAGACTTTTTCTGTGATGGTCTTAACCAGCCTTTAAAGTCAAGAGTGATTCAGGAGGATCCTCGTTCATCACGCGTTCAATTTATGGATTATGCTTTGTTGACTGTTGGTTCATCGTTCACTGTGGGTGGCGCGGAGGAATGCGAC